TGATATATAATATAATGTGTATTGTTTATTTAGTAAATTCTACTAGTTTAGAGATTTTAATTTTTTTTTTTGTAAAATTTAAAAGAAAAATTCAATAAATGTTACTACACCCAAAAATGCTGTTTTTCAGTGCAGTTCACTGAGCTTCTTGTCTTTGTTTCTAATGTGTGGATTTCAGGATTTGGGGATATCGAAGGTGGGTCATATGAAGAGAATCCTGCAGGGAACCAAGGAGCTGGCCAAAGCTTCAATGGTTGACCTCTGAACTGGGAGAAAGCTGCCGGAGAGGGGAACAAACAAAGCCTGTRACGTGAACGGACACTTTGACAGCGTCTCAGGCAGTGGGGGAGCAGACAGGTACTCCTCTGTTCAGAAAGCCTCGGTGGTGTTGAAGACAAGATGCATTTAAACGTGTTTGTGCCAAAACGACAGTGAACCTGTGAGAAGGTTTGAATGAAGTCATGGAGCAACTAAAGCCATTTCTAAGCTCTAATCCCTCTCATAGCACGTCATCAGATATGCAGACGAGCAGTCAGACGACCAGAGGTCTTTGTGACAAACAAGTAGCAAAATGAGAACTTCCATGATGGTTGGTTCAGTTTGTTCCTGTGAAACATCACTGACAGAACATAAACATCACATGGTCTGCAGGTGGGGAACAGTTAGACTATGCTTGTTCATCTTTAAGTATCTTTACATTGCATGATTAGTGTCTTGGTTTTATCTGTGCTAAATAACACTTGAACCAGTTTACATGACTTAATAAGTATTGCAATGCTGATTGTTTCTACTGAAAGCCTCCTTTTTGATCTAAACATTAAGTTTAGTTTGATTACTTTTGAATTTAATTCATTTTGTTTGCATGATAGTGATGTGTCCAAAATCTCTGTTAAGTGCCATTCTCTGTCATTTGGTGTAAAATGTGATTTATTAGCAGTAAAATAAGACATTTTTGCTGAGTTCTGAATGAACAGTTAGTGTAAACAGACTCTATGGGTGTGAAATACATTGTCTTGAAWAAGTCTCCATACATTTTGAACTCTTGAACATTTTGTCATGTTACAACTATAAACTTTGAAGTATTTCACTGGGATTGTATGTAAAACCAGTGGAGTTTACTGTAAAAGTGAAGTGGAAGCTGTGGATCTCTACAGCTCTTTGTCTACTTCTCAGATTAATGCTCTCCTTGGTTGACTTGTTTGTCCATGAAGGTTTTCAGTTGTGCCATAATTTCCTTTTCTGAATGATGGTTAAAACAGTTCTCCATGAAACSTTCAAAGCTTAGGATGTTTTATAACCTAATCCTGTTTGAAATATTTCAACAACTTCATCCTTGAAGTGTCTTCTGTTTTTTTTAGCTTTCATGATGCTGTTTTCTCTTTAATGTWTCTCAGGTCCTCTCAGAAACACCTGCTTTATACTGATATTTAATCACACACAGGTGGACTGTAGTTACTAATGAGTGACTTTTGAAGGCAGGTGCTTCAACTGGATTTTAGTTCTGGGCTGAGAGTAAAGGTATTTAACACAAACGTCTGGGCTGCTGTTTGTAAAGTTACACAGTCAGAAATTACCACCAATATTTTTGTTTTATTTAGAGTTTTATAAGAAAAAAAGATCAGATTTAT